GGAAATTCACATTCCTCTGAGCCCACCGTCCTCACAGGCTCAGGTGAGACCCTTTAGGAGCAGAATCTAAGCCCAGGAAAAGTAGTATTTTGTAAGACACAGCACGTTTCTATATACTGATGGTCTGTTTCTGTTATGCTGTAGAACCAAAAAGACTGATGCTTCCTTAATTGCAGTGGCAGCTATTATGATTGTAAACATGAATCCTTTCTTTTATCCTTCAGATAATTCAAAGCACCATCCCAATGCTCCTGAGCAAATACCTCTTGCCCTTTCCTGTCTTAATATATCAGCTCTTGAGGGAGGAATCCAAATTTAAAGTTCAAGGCCACAGAGGCTCAGGACAACTCAGAGCCTGCCGTGGGAGAGCAAGAGGGAGAACAGTTGTGATTTAATTTTAGGCAAACATTTCTCTCTCTGTCTCTTTCTCCCTTTACCTCCTCTTCCCAAGAAAACAAACATTTCTTTCATTCCTAGGTCACACTGGAAGCTGATTTCTTTTCACCTTTGAAAGAATTCACTACATTATTCCCCATCTGCAGCTTCCTAAAGCAAAGCCTAGACTGAAGTGCAGCTCTTATCAGCCCACCCTGCAATTACCAGGAGACAAGAAGCACCCTGCAAAAACTGTGACAGAACAAAATCATTTCACAGTGATTTATTAGGCATGCAGCCACTAATGACTTTGCAAGTGTGGAAAGCAAGATGGAGGGGCAGAGTCTGAGCCAACAGTAGCTGTCAGAACATCATTGTCATCTATCGGGTTAGAAATATTTAAGCCATCTGATGTTCAGCCTGGCATCCCCCCCATAACACTATACCTGCAAACAGCAATAAATTTTGACAATGAGGAGTCTCTTCAAATCACAGAGGTTGACAAAGAAAAGGGAGAAACTATGCAGAGATGTTTCTTTGTGTGGCACAGAAAATAAAGAACCCTGATCTCCAAGCACATCCTTCTAGTGCATCAACTCTGCTGTCAGGGCTGAAGTACCAGAGGCAAGAGCCACCTCAGTGAACTGAAAGGTGTTTTGACATTCATTCACAGATATTATTTTTGTGCTTATTGTGAAAAAACTTCTTTGTTCTTTTGAATAAAAAGTCACCTTGCGATGTATTTGGGAAAAATCCAAGGAAGCGCCAAGCTCCTGCAATTCCCACCTGCTGGGAGCAGCATGTGCTTGGCACCTGGCATAGTGAAGCTCTTGAGAGAGGTTCTGCCCTCAGCTGTGCTCATGTAAATACAATATAACTTTGCTAGCACTGACTGAACCATCCCAGATGAAATTAAAAGTAAACAAGAGCAGAATTTTTTTTTTTTCAGCACCAGGGGCCTACAATGGCAACGTTAACATTAGAACAGATCGATTTTGCAAGATGACAAAAGAACATTCTGATCTCACTGCTGCGAGCTCCTACTCAGCAGACAATTGCATCCCGTCTCAGAATAGAGTTTTAAAAATGTTCAAAGCAATGTGCAGGCATTAACTTCTAATGGCTTAAAAAGGAATTTTATAATGCTAATGTCTTCATATTACAGCTATGATGCATCTTGAGAGCAAAGGTTTCTATTTAAATCTGTAGCAGCTTTCAAAGATATTTGGACCAGAAATTTCCATTTAGGCATCTCTAATTTCAAGATTTCTGAATGTGCTGCTGGGACAGACAGAGGTTGATATGACCTTTACAAAGGCTCCTGCAATTATATTCTGGTCCATCTAAATTACTAGTTTAAGACAGTTGTGTATTCACAAAGAAAACAACAACCAAACAAGAAGATGTTCCACCATCCCAGCCATTCAGCAAACACTCCCCTGCCATGCTACAGATTACAGTTGCCCCTACTTTATTCTTGGCTACTGAACACAAGCTGAGAGCAGTGGGGAAAGCCAGCCTGCAGGAATTTAGTGATCCACCATCACTCCCAGAAGTACAAGCAGGGCACCACCCACCAGTGCTGAGGTAGGCTGAGCACAGAAAGAAGTTGAAAATAGAGTGTTTCTATTTTTTTTGTATAATGTCTTGTTCTTCTCCAAGAAAGTTGTACCTGAGTGTTGTAAGCCAAAACGGCTTTCTTCTTTTTTCCCCACTGTCACAAACAAACCCAAAACAATAAAACTATGTGGGGGAGGGACGATATGCATACAACTTTCTTTTCAGAAATTCCTATTATTACAGAATCCTCTAAGCTAATTATAGTGTATTTTGCATCCTTCCCCCTTTTTTTTCCCACAATATATATTATTTTTTCAATCAGCATTTCTGCATGACCAATAAATATGTTTTAGGTCAGCCTGCATCACAACAGTACCTCTCTGTCCCATTGCTTTCTCGTTCAGAATGGACTCCTCTCTCCTCTCCTACTCAGACCTTGTTAGGTCTTCTCTTGTTCCTAATTTGAAGATTCAAATGAGCAAGAATTACGTGTCTCAGCAATAAACATGATCTCACAGAAACACAAAGAAGAGGATGAACAAAATAAAAATTACAGTCTGGTGAAAGCTCCCTTGACAACTACAGCTACACTGACAGGCGCCACTGAAATAATAGGAATGATGCTTCAAAACAACAGCCAAGACAACGTTATGAAAGAGAAAAAAAACCCAGTCTAAACAGATCTTTTCAAATGCAGATTCCTCTGTCAAGTAAGGAGAATGTGAAAAATGTTCTTTCTTATAGCACAGCCATGTTCAAACTCTGCCAGATTACAGAAAACCACTAAGAATATGAGTACAACCATGGGTTCAGTAGTCCATTTGAGGAATGTTAGAATGATGCACAATGGAAGAGAAGGGTCATATTTTGGGGATGGAGAGGAAGGATGGAAGGTGTTATCTCATTACTAACTGGGTGAACAACAAAACTTATGTTGACTTCAGTGCAACATCAGGCATTTGCAAGCTTGTGTATCTGAGTCCCTACCACTACCCAGGTGACAAAGTGCATAGCAAAAAGCCAAGAGATGATGAACATGAAAAATTATGACCCACTACTAAAAATGTTTCATCCAAGACAGAACTAAGGCAACACTCATGACTAAAGGTTGTCTGTGGATTAGGGAGGAAATTAGGGAAAAAAGAATTAGCATTCCTCTGTCAATAATGATTTAGTGCTAATGAGTTCCTTAAGTACTTTTTTCATGTTAGCTTCACACCATAAAAGGAGGAAAATTGTTCTAAGTTCTGGTGTGGTCAGAGATATCTGCTGATCAGCAGGTATTTCAAAAACACCAGATGCATGCTGTAAAATCCTGCAACAACCACAGGAAACCCCAAAACTACCTATGGCTCCTCAGCAGGCAGAAAATGCAGCCCCTGAGAGCAGCAGTGGGGATCCGACTGCACCAGAGTTTCTGGCCAGACTGAGTCAGAGGTGGGGGGGCAGTGGAAAGAGATGGCAGAGACAATTTTGCAGACAGGGTGGGAAGGGATAATGAGCACAGGGGGAGTGGTGCTTTGGTGTGGTACATTTTATTTGCTGGTATTTTACATCCCTATTGTGAAGTACTACTGGCAACATGGTAAAGTTTATTGCCTAAAATCTTCTGTCACAAATACATAGGCAACACCCATTTCTGTTAGCAGAAACAGACCCTTTTCTTCTAGAACTGAATGCACTCTGAGCTCCAGAAGTTTGGCTTGGGCTCTTGGGCTTGCATTCCTCCCCAGAGAAAAATAAAATCTGCAGAAGAGTCATGTACTTTTCCTCCATTTTATTCCACACACTCAAGACACCTAATAAATTTGCTTTGACTTCTTATTCTTTCCTAAAACAAAGGAAAATCTTAGAACCACAAATATCTTTTTGCTCCTTGGTGGCCTGGCAGAGATACGGGTAGAACTGTTTCCCACTTTTATATAATGAGATTTAAAACAAACTAATAAATAAAACAAAACAACAAAAAAAGAAACCAAACACCAATAAGCAATAAAACAACAGAGGGCACAGAGAAGATACAAGGACTTTGCCATTTCTTGCCAGAAGCATTGAAACCAAAAGTACATCAGGACTGAGAATAGAAAACTAATAGCTACATGGATCACAAGAACATCCTAATAGTAAAAAACCCCAGTAATATAAGTTTTGAAAGGCATGTAATTCTGAAGATGGAGCCAGTCAGCCTTTTAGCACTCACTGGAAATAGAAACTTTTGATCTGTAGTTATTCTGTATCTATACCTAGAATTTCTTGCATGTTACTTTATAGTGGAATATACAGAACAGAGCTGGTGACCAGACTGCTCGGATCCAAATCTGAGGGAGCTCTGGGTTCCCCAGCCCTGGGAAATTCAGAACTGGATTAGTCTTGAGAGGGAAGAATCAGACTAAACGCTGGTTCAGCCACAGGCAGGGACAGTTCCCGGAGCCAAAGCTGGGAATGTTGAGACCAGCGTTTGGGGGTGAGCAGACATTCTGCCACACCGCGCCGCGAGTCTGGGAGGGAACTGGGTGAGACAAAGTGAGCCAAACCCACAGCCCAAGGCACTTGTACAGCAGGGAGTCAGAGTCACTTCTGACACTGGGATAGGGGGATACACCTCCGTGCCAGGGACACTGCATCCTGGGCTCCCAGCACTGCACGGGGGGCCAAGACCCCACTGTTCAGCCCACCCCAGATGTGGAGGACTCTCCTGCTGCAGGGGTGCACCCCCAGCCCAGCATGCCCCAAACTGCAGAGCTCGGCAGGAAACACCTCTCCCTGCCTTTCGCTGCGCTCCATGTCAGAGAAAAACATGCCTAAGCCACGCCAGCTGCCGAACGGGAGGAAGAGCGAGGAGCCACTTACGGGGATGTGCACTCGCAACATGAGTTTCTTGTGGCTGGAGCTTTTCCTGCTGCTGCTGCTGGACGCATCTTTTTTCTTCTTGTCCATGGCAGTGCTTCCCATGCCTTCACCCAAGCGTGGTGCTGAGCGATGGACCTGGAGAGGGAGGCTCCTCTTCCACCTCTCCCCACCGTCCCACGGGCCGCAGTT